GGGAGCTATGATGGCTTTAAGCAACAATCATTTTCTCCCAGTCATGGGCTGCTCCTCAGCCCTTAGTGTTACTTGGGTTACAGTCACAGCAGCCTGTGAGTGCTGTCCTTTGGGCTGCTGCACAGCCTGGAATCCCTGCAGTGCAGCTCCTGCAGCCCCAACACACCCCTTCCACACCCTATAGGTATGCTCCCTATGTCGGGGCTTGCCCTGAGAAGGCAGACTTGCAGCTGTGCCAGGGGAATCAGAACCGGGGCTTAGAGAGCCACTTCACACTGCTTCAGCCTTTCCCCTCAGAGTACAGGGATTGTAGCAGGAGTAAGAGTTTCATCCTAGGAATTTGCATTGGGGCAGCTGTACAGAGGTAGCTAGTGGTTTCAAGCCCAGTGTAGATAAATCTCTATTATAGATACAAAACCAGACCTCAATATGTATTTTTACTATCATTTCAGTTTACTGCTTTATTTAATTAAAATACATTTCACTCAAAATAGCGGAAACAAAACATTTGAACCTCATTGCAATTAATTTAGGCTTAACATAAACTCAGTTGCCATATATATGGAAACAGGTTTTGAATACTCTTTCGGTTGTTGTTGTCCAATCCTCTCTTTGTCTAGACACAAAGCTTTCTCTGGGAGGGGTTCATATTTGATTATTGCAAATAAGATCTAGTGGTTTTCTTAATATCTGTTTTAAAATATGGACTGTAACCACTTCTTTATTGTTTTATTGCCTAGTGTTCTTGATCCTGGCAAAAACATAATTTTTCAGGCCTCTGATAACCTTGAAGTGTATTGTATTTGAGGCTCTCTGACACCTATAAAGGTGAACTTTAAAAGGTAACACCTTTTAAAGGTGAACTATAAAGCTGCAATGACAACTGAGTTAAATACATAAAAATACATTGTATGTCCTCAAAAACTAGACTGTTGGGATGGCACACCAGTGGTGCCCAACCTTATTACACAGGAGGGCCACATAAACTTAAGCATGACCTTGCGTGGGCCAAACAGCATTTGTTAATAAGTTTTAAAGTCACCTGTACTGATTTATATTTTAAGTTCAGCTTATTTAATATGTATTTACATATATTGTTTCTCTGTACAGTATTGTCTCTTTACACACTTAGAATAATAGAATTCTAGGGCTGGAAGGGACCTCGAGAGGTCATCTAGACCAGTCCCCTGAACTCACGGCAGGACTAAGTATTATGTAAACCACCCCTTTCAGGTGTTTGTCTAACCTGCTCTTAAAAATCTCCAGTGATAGAGATTCCACAGCCTCCCTAGGTAATTTATTCCAGTATTAACTACCATTACAAGAAGTTTTTCGTAATGTTCAACATAATCTGCCCTTGTTGCAGTTTAAGCCCATTGGTTCTTGTCCTATCCTCAAAGGTTAAGAACAACAATTTTTCTCTTTCCTTCTTGTAACAACCTTTTACGTTAAAAACTGTTACCATGCCCCTCTCAGTCTTCTCTCCTCCAGATTAAACACACTCAGTTTTTTCAGTCTTCCCTCATAGGTCATGTTTTCTAGACCTTTGATCATTTTTGCTGTTCTTCTCTGGACTTGCTCCAATTTGTCCACATTTTTCATGAAATGTGGCACTCAGAACTGGACACAATACTCCAGTTGAGACCTAATCAGCGTTGGGAAGAGCGGAAGAATTACTTCTCATGTCTTGCTTACAACACTCCTGCTAATACATCCCAGAATGGGGTTTGCTTTTTTTGCAACAGCATTACACTGTTGACTCATATTTAGCTTGTGGTTCACTATGACCCCCAGATCCCTTTCTGCAGTACTCCTTCCTAGGCTGTCATTTTCTATTTTTAAAGTGTTCAGCTGATTATTCCTTCCTAAGTGGAGTACTTTGTATTTATCTTTATTGAATTTCATCCTATTTACTTCAGACCATTTCTCCAGTTTGTACAGACCATTTTGAATTTTAATCCTGTCCTCCAAAGCACTTGCAACACCTCCCAGCTTATCATCTGCAAACTTTATAAGTGTACTCTCTATGACATTATCTAAATAGTTGATGAAGATATTGAACAGAACCAGACCCAAAACTGATCCCTGCAGGACTCCACTTGTTATGTCCTTCCAGCTTGATGGTGAACCGCTGATAATTACTTTCTGGAAATGGTTTTCCAACGAGTTACTCACTCGCCTTATAGTAGATTGTATTTCTCTACTTTCTTTATGAGATGGTCATACAAGACAGTATCAAAAGTCTTATTAAAGTCAAGATATACCACATCTTCCAGTTCCCCCCATCCACAAGGCGTTATCCTGTCAAAGAAAGCTATTAAACTATTAAAGCTATTAAAGTTTATTTGTGTAAACTAAAATGATGTAAACCTGATGACAAAACACTAATGAATGGACCTCTAGTATATTGTGTTGAAGCAGGCTGGGGGCTTTATGAAATGCTCTGGTGGGCTGTGCATAGCCTGCTGGCTGTAGGTTGAACAGCCCTGCAGAACGCAATTACATTTTAGCTACCCTTTTAAACCTTCCAGCACTTCCTGACACCCCCCTCTGTGCCTCAGTTTCTCCATCTGTAAAATGGGGCTAATGCTGCTGACCTCCTTTATAAACTGCTTTGAGATCTACGAATGAAAAGTGCTATATAAGAGCTAGGTGTTATTATTAAGAAGGAGGGTAGGGAAGAACATGATATAAAAAAATCAGGAAGCAGAAGAGAGCTTACCTAACTTGCATGATCACATAAACACATAACAATATTGCCAACGCCAAACATTAAAAAATCATGGGTCAGGTCCATTAAAAATCATGAGATTTAAAAAATATACCTTAGGCAATTTTTTTATTTGCCTTCTGGCTTTTGAGCCTTTAGGGTTCACTTGGGTCCCATTTTCAAGCTTTTCTCTGTGACCATGAGGGCTAGAAATTTCCTTTTTTAAATGACTGTTGAGGTGCTCACATAATCCCTTGTTTCCAGGAGCTGGGGCCTTAACTAAAACATCAAACATTGTGAAACTCACAATAAAATCGCATGAGTTGGCAACACCAGTAAAAATAAACCCATAAAAACCATGGAACTAGCTAGATGTGTGCCAAACATCACAGCCCCAGTACGATGCTTTTACATGGCATCCCTTCCCTTATCACTCATCTATTTCATCTACTTGGATTGTAAACTCTTCAGGGCAGGGCCATTATCTAAAATAGGGAGCACAAATGTGCTGTCTGAGGCCTCTGCCTTCACTGGCAATCTTTAACTCTGATTAACATGACTGAGCTGGGGACTTTGCCTGCCTCTATTAATATTAAGTCCCTAATATTATTCCAGCTCCTATAGGAGCTGGACCTGCACTCTATAATCAGACAAAATTTCCATTACAGCCAGTGGGAGTTTTATATGAACAAGCAATGCATGATTGGACCTTTTTATCTATTAATGTGTCTCATAGGATACAATTTATATATAAGCAGCTTTGTTCCTACTAAATGTTTTTCCCCCTACATTTTCAGAAAAGCCGGATTTCTTTATTGCTACTTACAGAGAGAATTGGTATTAGAGGGCCCTGGGAAATTTGGCAAAATCCTTCTGTGTAGTGCAGTATTGTGTTTGCTTTATGTACACACTCTAGAGTAAAATGTATTTGTTTTGCTACTGTGGTACCAGACAAACGCCACACCAAAAAGAATGACATCACATCATATTACTCTGCCTTCCACGTAACTTAACATTAGTCACAGTGTATAATAATATTTGTTGATAACTTGCAGTCAGGGGTGTATATACTCTCTCTCTCTCTCTCTCTCTCTCAGCTTAGTATATAGAGGGTTGAGTATACAGCTGTCATTAGAATTTGCGTGGCTTATATGCCGCAGATTGCAATGGAAGATGCTATACCTCTCAAATGGTCAACAGTTACCACCTTCGGTTCTAATGATTTAATGTACATGTTTTTCCCCTGAAACAGAGCCTTCATTATGTGCATTTCTGCAGTTTACAACAGAATCTGTCCAAAATCAGTTCACTTCAAATTCTTATCTGTTTTTTTTTTAAGTGTTCGATAATTGATATTAATGTGAGCTGCCTTTTTGTTTACAAATTCTCAAAGTTCTAGATCCTTTGGGTCTGACTCATTTTCACCAAGGCCCTTCCATACCCCCCTGCCATGGCTAAGAGGCCTTAATGAGAGTGTCTTTTCGAATTACACTTTTTATGTTATTAATGAGAGGATCATTGTTTAAAATATTGTGGGAAAAGTTGGGCTGTAAATATGGGGGATGGAGGAGCGAGGAGGTTCTGTGGCGTAGATGTTCAGGAAGAAAATTCCATGTTTAGGGGGCACGTAGGGAAACCAAAAAAAAGGGAATATATTCACAAAACACAGTCTATTCCTCTTCAATATCTAGTGAGGTTTCTTCCTAAGGGGAATATGAGTTTTCTGTGCACTCACTAATATTACCAAGGCCATCAGGGGTATGGATATAGTCGAAACAGTCCAGTAAGAGAAAGTTTGTAATAACTCTCAGGAGATGTGCTAATATTGTTTTGTTCATTTTGATCTCTCAACCAGATAAACTTTTAATGGTCCTTTGTAAATATCATGAAGTTATTCCATTTCAAACAAGTCCTGTATACTGGAAAAAACTGAGTTAAATTATTGTACATCTTTTATAAAATACCTGGGGATGTTTTAGGAGACAAGAAAAACTAAGTGATGACTTTGTCATTTTCCTACCTTTTCTTAAAACTCTAGTGGAATTCTGGTTTCTGTTGACAATTAGCATTATGCACTCAGCGCATCATCCAAAGCCCAGAGGAATCAATGGAAAGATTGCCATTGACTTCAATCAGTTTTGGATCAGGCCCTCAGTTTGCTTCTATAGTTATTTTTGTCAGTCAGAATGTGATAGTTTGAATTGTAGTCCAAGATTTATAAGCTGCTTTAGTGATAAAATGACTGTTCTAGCTTTTTCATAAGTTGATATTATTGTTTACCTTTCACCAGGTTGGAAAAATCCGGAAGAATGCTGCCCGCAAAAGGGAATACCATGTCCTCTTTATGGTGATTACTACAATAATCTGTTATCTAATATGCTGGATGCCTTATGGCGTTATAGCGCTGCTCGCAACATTTGGTAGTCCAGGTGCAGTTTCTCCAGTAGCATATATCATTCCTTCCATCCTGGCAAAGAGCAGTACCGTATGCAATCCAATTATCTACATACTTATGAACAAGCAGGTAAGGAACATTGCTGTCACTACGTATTCACTACTGATTAGCAGTCTTTTAAAATGGCTCATCTGTTACTACATGATCAGAACCGAAAGGAAACCTCATGCCCTGTTGACCTCAGGGCTGAAAATAGTTTGGACTCATTTAAAGGGATTAATGCCTAATATTTGTACTGATTGTCTTCAAATTGATCTTATATGATTATCATTGGTTTCTCCCCATCCCAACATCCTCTGCATATCTGACAGAATCCCACATCACAGCTACCCCCTTATTCCCCATCTTCAAATGGGGATAACCCATATCCAGCTCTGTAAAGTAGTCCTTCTATTAAAGGTGCAAAGTATTATTTCGGCGCCTCACAGCCAGAGTAACAAACAGAATAAAATGGTCAAGAGGTTTTGGGTGCTTTAGTAAATGAAGTACTCCACTAGCCTTTTTACTCAAAGAGCTGCATCATTGTGGTGGTGCCAATTTACTGCCTTGTGGAAAAAGATGTGCATGATATACATGATGTCTAAAGTGTCTTTTTTAATTGGGCATGGTTGGTTGAAAGCCCAACAGAAGCTAGACAGGACTGAGTAAGAATGTAAGAGGAATTGCATGACGGTCTGAGAGATCAGTTCTTCAGTTGGAAGACATGGGGTAGACACTCTGTTGAGACGTACATTGTCCTTAGGGATACTGTACTCTGTTCACGATACACTTGGGGTTCTCAGTCTGGGGTCATAACCAGCCTACCCTTCCCATATTGCTAAGTAAAAGGGGTGTTTTAGCTAGATGAGAAGCAACATCGGCAGGATCCCAGTATAGAAAAGTTTGAGACCAATGTAATACCACCCTGGAAATGTATCTGCTTACTGAAATTGCTTTCTCTCTTTTTTACACACACTGGATGTTAATTTGTAAGTTGCAGAGTCCCCTATGTAAGTGGGGTATGTTGGCATATATTTACCAAAAAGAGCCCTTGAACCATTTGGGTTTTTTTTGCGGGGCGGGGAAGGGTTTTTAAAAATGCATGACCTGGATATACAAGAAAAGACGGCTGGAGAAATATTTATTATTTATCAGCCTTGACAATGACCCTTGAAAACAAATTGCCATTACAATTGCAAGTTTGAGAGCCAAATGCTACATTCTTCCCCTTCAAATGCAGAGATAGCTGAATGCTAATGTATGAGGATAGTTTGGCTCTTAACGGGCCAAGTGCTCCGCTGGTATAAATCGGCACAGTTCCGTTGAAGTGCATTCACAGATTTACACCAGCTGAAGATCTTGCCCAAAATGTTTGAAATTAATGAGTTGGTGTAGAACTTAAATAGTGGGTGCTAGTTATTTTGGAAAACAAAACTGTTAATTAAAAGAAAGACACTAAAAATAACATCTAGCAACAATTTCAATGCAACTATGGAATATTTTGCTGAGGGAGCCTGTTGAGCCACCAGCTGCAGAGATGTTCAAAAATAGCCTGGATAAAAGACCCACATATTTTTCTACAGAACAGAACTGTAGAAACCCAAGGGACAAATTAGATCCTCCAGCAGGTGCTTTCTAGCCACAGATGCTAAATTTGCAATAGGGAAAATCTGTGGATGTTTTTGATGTTGAAAATTGTGAATCCATTGTTGTAAATTCTAAACATACATTGAAATTATGAATTCTAAAAGTTCCATGTTGTCAAGGTTCCCTCCCCACTCTGAACTCTAGGGTACAGATGTGGGGACCCGCATGAAAGACCCCCTAAGCTTATTTCTACCAGCTTAGGTTAAAACTTCCCCAAGGCACAAATTCTTTGCCCTTGGAGGGTATTGTGCCACCACCAAGTGATTTAACAAAGAATCAGGGAAAGGACCACTTGGAGTTCCAATTCCCCCAAAATATCCCCCCAAGCCCTTATACCCCCTTTCCTGGGGAGGTTTGAGAATAATATCCTAACCAATTGGTTACGAAGTGATCACAGACCCAAACCCGTGGGTCTTAGGACAATAGAGAAATCAGTCAGGTTCTTAAAAGAAGGATTTTATTAAAAAAAAAAAGGTAAAAATCACCTCTGTAAAATCAGGATGGAAAATAACTTTACAGGGTAACAAAAGATTCAAAAACACAGCAGAACTTCCTCTAGGCTTAGTTTCAAAGTTACAAAAAGCAGGAATAAACCTCCCTCCAGCAAAGGAAAAATTCATAAGCAGAACAAAAGATAATCTAACACACCTTGCCTGTCTTTTACTTACAATTTTAGTAATACGAGAGACTTTTAGGATGGTTTATAGGTGGAGTTTTCTGACCTGATGCTTCTCTGCTTCCCAAGAGAACACACAAAACAAAACCTTCCCCCCACCCACCAAGATTTGAAATTATCTTCTCTCCCCATTGGTCCTTTTGGTTAGGTGCCAACCAGGTTATTTGAGCTTCTTAACCCCTTACAGGTAAGGAGGAATTCTAGGCTACCCTTAGCTGTATGGTTATGACACATGTGATTTATAAAGATGTCTTTTTTGATACTATAAGTGTTAAAATTACTATAGAATTTCACCCCCAGTTCAATATAGTATCAACATATTTAGTTATACTATAACAAAACAAATAGTGGCTCTGGATTCTTTATTATATATCCACTGGAATCTACTATTAATATATATGACCAGCAGTATTATGTTCAGCTTAGATATGGAAAAATGAGATTGTAATAAACAAAGATATGCTAACATTGCCTTTCTTATCAAACTACCTCCGAGCACTTAGCTGCTTCACTATGATTCATTTAGACCCATGTTTCCAAACAGGAAAAGGAAGTTTGACTGGAACTAATATGCTTCTTGCATCAAGGGTTGAGCTTGCTTAAAGATTCCAGGCAGATACTAGGGCTCTCTTGACGTCAATGAGAAAAGTCCCATTGATTTCAATAAGTTCAGGATTTTGCCTCTGAAGTCCTTTTTGAGCCATTGGGGAGGAGGACAAATTGCTCCTACTGGAAGGTGCTAAGATGGAAGCAAAGCAGCAACTTCCTTTTCTTCCCCCGTACGCCTCAAAAAGCTCCTGGGTAGTCCTTAGAAGCAGCCTGTGTCTTATCTGTATTTATTCTGAAAGGGTTCTGAATGATTAGGTCTTTAGTTTCAGTCCATGAGTACTGAGATTGCTGCAGGAAGATTCAACAAAGGGGATATGTTTTGGTATCATCTGCACAAAAAAACCACATCATCAATGATAAAATTATGGAAGCCTGAGGAACAATATAGATACTGAAATACATAAGCATAGCACAGTGTCTTGCGTATCTCAAAATTTCACAGGAACAATATCATAAGAATAATTATATGTAGTGTATAAATTGACATCCAGAGAGATACGCAGGACTGAGGTCTTGTCAGAAGAGCATCGGAAAGACCACACTGCTCCAAGCATGTAATAAAAACCCTGTCTTTCAGAGAGTCATAAGCTCATAGGAAAATCAGACTGGATTGAAATTGTTTGTGTTATAGATTCCACCTGCAACAGAAGATCTTTACAGTCAGGGAAAATACAGCCAAGCAGTTTCTCAAGAAGAAAAACTTTTAGCACATATACCCAAGGAACATAGCTGGCACAGTAGCAAGACACTCTACTGTTGCAACACCTCCCCTTTCCTTCTTGGTAGATACTGTATTGGGATGGTGTTCTAGCTACATGATCCAAATACTATAAACTTTGGAAGGAGGAGGAATAGCCATAGGAAAGTCTCTTTGTTTAGGGACAAAATCTGTTGGAAGAGTCTACAGTGTGGCAACATCAGGAAGTGAAAAGTCAGTCTGCAGAGATGCTAGGAACTTTGAAAAAGTTGCAGATGTCTTCGATTCCTTCTGAAATGTCCTTGCTTAGTCTCTGATGATATAGGATATTGGAGTATTACATTTATCTTTGCCCTAAGACAGCTTACAACACTTGTTCTTACTGTCTACCTTAAGATGATAGCCAGAGTTTAGCAAAGCAAAGAGGAGGGACAAAGCTGCACAGCTATCAGGGCTAGTGCTTAAAATTGTGGCTACTCTTTGTGTTGCTGTTTCTTGCTGTTTGGGGTTTGTTTGTTTTTAATAGTTACTTTCCTCATTCTCAGTTTTTGTAAGCTTCATGGCAGGAGTGAGTTTTAAGAAAGGACTTGGGTCAGGTTTCAGTGTAATGAAATCAAAATAATAATTAATAATGGGGCTCGATTCACTTGGGCATTGGGCATTGCGGAGTCTAACCTTTAGGTGCCCTGCCACCTAGTGGAATTTACAACCCTGTTTATTAGCCAGACTCCCTATACGATGCATGGAGAGAATTAGGTGCCTAAAAAGAGATTAATTTAGATAGAAGCCATCACACTGAGCCAGAAGCAACCTAAGCTAGCCGATAGGAAACGCAGAAGAGAGGTGGCTGTCCTAAGCCCTGCCTACACTCTAGGCTGAAAGGAGATGCCATCCTCCACTCAAGGTGCACAGCCATGAACTCTCTCCCACAGCTAGGTAACTAAGCCAACTCACTTCTTTCTTGTGAAAAAACAGAGGAGGTAGCAGTGGTGCTGCCACCCTCATACCCAACTGCCCGGTGGTTTGAACACTGAATATGTGGGAGACCAGATCAGGCCCCACAGGTGAGGGCAGGAGACTATTTAGTTTGTGAATCCTGTTAGGGCTTCAGTGTGAGCTAGACACCAACCAGCTCAGTGCAGCGTCAGGATTCTGATACTGTGCATATGCCTACCAACAGAAATGTAGGTGCCTAGGGGGACTTTAATAATGGAAACATTGGTGCTTAGGGACTTTAGGTCCCTACAGGGTTAGGACACAGCTGAACAAGGTTTTTGTGATTGCCAGGATGCCTAAACCTTGAACCCTCTAAATTCTCTAGCCCACAGAGCGGTTTTTCAGCTCTCATACCATTTAGAAAGTTGAGTCAGAAGTAAAATAGAGTGATTTTTTCTCTCGAACTGTGGAACTTAAGTGTGTAAGTTCAACACAAAAGTAGAAGGTCAATACAAATCCATATTT